GCTGCTGCTGCTGCTGCTGCTGCTGCAGGTGTATAGGGACCTCGTGCCAGCAGAATTGGCTTCCATTGCAGCAATTACTCCCCCCATAGGCAACTGTCCCGCCCTTGGGGTGTACAGACAGCTGGTGGAGCAGCAGCAGAAGCAGCAGCAGCAGGCAGAGTTTGAGGAGGACGAGTTGCTGCCTCCGTTTCTGCAGCAGCAGCTGCCACTGCAGCAGCAGCTGCTGCTGCAGCAGCTGCAGCAGCAGCCGGGCGGCGCAGCGCAGCGCGCAGCATCAGCAGCAAAGATCAAAAGAGATGCTCTCTTCCACTTAACTGCTGGCAGCAGCTCTTTGGGGGTCCCTTGGAGGCCCCAGCCCCCAGCAGCATGGGCTTTATCATCTCCTGCTGCAGCAGCAGCAGACGCAGTTGCGGGGCAGCTGGAGAGCAACAAGGCCGTCGCTGCAGCGGTTAGCAACCTGCTGCTGCTGCTGCTGCTTTTGTTGTTTCGGCGGTGGTGCTGCTGCTGCTGCTGTTTTGGCGGTGGTGCAGCTGCTGTTGCCGCTGCTGTTTTGGGGGTGGTGCTGCTGCTGCTGCAGTTCGTGCTGCTGTTGCTGCTGCTGCTGCAGCTTCGCCGCCGTTGCTGCTGCAGGCACATGCGTTGCTGCTGCCTGTTTGCTGCAGCGGATGACTCCGGGCTGCTGCCAGCTGTCTCCTCAGCTGTATGCCTATCTCCTTTGTCTTCTGGTGAATCGCAAAGTGGCTTGCGAAGCAGCAGCAGCAGCAGCAGCGGACGAGCCAGCGGCAGCGACGGATGAGTCTGCAGCAGCAACGCCAGCTGACGCCGCGAGGGTCAAAACGGATGCAGCAGCAAAGCAGCAGCTCAAAGCAGCAGCATCTGCAGCAGCAGCAGCAGCAGTGGCTGTGAAGGAAGAGAGGCTGTCGAAATGTGCGTTTGTCTGTTACTGTTGCTGCTGCTGCTGCGGCGTGTGCTGCTGCAGCAGCTGCTGCTGTGGCTGCCGCTTGTGCTGCTGCGAATGTTGCTGCTGCTGGTGCTACTGTTGGTGCTGCCGCTGCTGCTGTTGCTGCTGCCGCCTTTGCTGCGGACACTGCCGCAGCTCTGCCGTTGCCGGTGCTGCAGCAGTAGAGGCTGATTGCGGCTGCTGGTTTGCTGCTGCCTTGTGTGTGCGCCTGCAGCAGCAGCAGCAGCAAGCAGCAGCAGCTGGAGCCCCTCGGAAGAGGCAGCAGAAGGACGCACTTTAGATGACTGGCTTTATCACCAGCAAGAGGCGTTACTGCTGCAGCAGCATCCACTTGTAATAGATGTATTTGCTGCTTCTCCTGCTGCATTTGTTGCTGCTGCGGGTCTGCTGCACAGCCTGCAGCCGCTGCAGCCGCTGCAGCAGCACCAGCCGCGGAAGCGGCAGCAGCAGCAGCAGCAGCTGCTGCTGCTGCCGCCGAAGCAGGCCGAAGAGGAGCAGCAGCAGCAGCAGCAGCAGTCGGCAGAGACTGCAGCAGCAGCAGAGGAAAAAAGGCAGCAGCAAATAAGAGCTTTAGCTGTTTCTTCAATGCTCGATGGACTGCAGCAGCACGCGGTGTCTGTACACCCCGTTGAGTTCAGGCCCCCGCAGCTTCCCGTAGACCTCATAACCCTTCCTGCCTTCAGTGCGTTGCTGCTGCTGCTGCTGCTGCAGGGGTTGCTGCCGCGTCTGCTTCCGCAGCAGCAGCTGCTACTGCTGCGGTTCAGAGGGTCGTGCGCGGTGGATGACTCTCGTTAGCTAAACTTGCTGCTGTTGCTGCTGCTGCAGCTCTCCCTGCTGCATGCCAGCGCTGCTGCTTTTGATTCACTTGCTGCTGCTGCTGCTGCTGCTGCTGCTATTGTCTGTGTGCGCAGCTGCAGGGGGCGGCTGGAGGCGCTACGTGCGGCGTTTGCTGCAGCAGTTCAGCAGCATGAGGAAATCAGAGGTTGCTGCTGCATCTCAGGCAGATGCAGCAGCAGCAGCAGCAGCAGCGCCCCTCGCGGGAGCAGCAGCTGTGGCAAACGCAGCGGCGCAGCAGCACCATGGCCCGGCAGCAGCAGCGTGGGCAACAGCAGCAGCAGCAGACCGCGGCGCTGCAGCAGCGCATGCAGAGTCCCTGCGGAGGCAAGGGGCAGGCAAACTTTCTGTGTATGAGGCGGTGAGTGCTGCTGCTGTTGCTGCTGCTACTGCTGCTACCGACGGTGTTGCTGTTTGCGCAGCGTTCTGGCTGCTGCCGCTGCGCTGCTGCTAGCTTGCTGCTGTCTGTGGGCGCTGCTGCGGCATTGCTGCTGGGTTGCTGCTGAGTGTTGCTGCATCGCTGCTGAGCTGCTGCTGCTGCTGTCTGTGGGTGCTGCTGCTGCAGAATGCGCAGCGAAGTCGTCGTGTGGGCGTAATGCCAGTGGATGCAGCAGCAGCAGAAGCAGAAAGGTCAGCAGCAGCAGCAGCTGCTGCTGCTGCGCAGGACAAGGAGGCGCTGCTGCAGCGCCGCAGCCAGCAGCAGCAGCAGCAGCAGTGGGATCTGCACGAGTCGGCGTTGCTGCTGCACCTTGCAGGTCGTTTCGCAGGCAGCAGCAGCAGCTGCTGCAGCAGCAGCAGCAGGGCGTGGTTCGCCGCTCTAAAGGGCCCGCGCAGCAGCAGCAGCAGCAGCAGCAGCAACGTGAACTGGGACCTAGTTGCCAGCTCGCTTTCGAGGGCGGGATCGTTCGGTGGGATCGTCTCCCGGCTACGGCTGCCCTGCGAGTGCAGCAGGCAGCACGCTGTGCTGCTGCAGCACCTGCAGCAGCTGCAGCAAACGGCGAAGGAGCTGCGGCACCCCATGCTGCTGCTGCTGCTGATGCAGCGGAGGCTCTTCACAGACGTGGATGTGCTACTGCGGGTTCGTTGCTGCTTCTTTGCTGCTGCTCCTTGTCTCCTTTTGTCGCTATTTTGGAGTTGCTGCTGCTGCTGCTGCTGCTGCTGCATTTGAGGGCATGCGCACCCGAGTTGGGCGAAGCTTTAGGGTTTAGGGTTTAGGGTTTAGGGTTTGCGCTGCAGCCTTTGCCAGCTCGGTGCTCCTTTGGCGGATTTGCTGCTGAGGAAGGAGAGACACTAACTTTAGAGCTGCTGCGGCCACTGAAGCCGCGTCAGCTGCTGCTGCTGCAGGAGCAGCAGCAGCAGCATCAGCAGCAGCAACAGAAGGCGCTGCCAGCCCCGGAGAAGATGGAGCAGGATGGAGAGTCAACTACGACAGCGAGCAGCACAAGCAACAGCAGCACCAGCAGCAGCAGTAGCAGCGACAGCAGCAGCAGCAGCAGCAGCACGAGTTCGTGGCTGCAGCTGCCTGCTGCTGCTGCTGTCGTCGTGGAGGAGGGAGCAACAGCAGCGCGGGTCTTCTCTTTGCCAGCCGACTTGGAGTCAGAACTGGAGCTCTTCCAGCAGCTGCAGCAGCCGCAGCAGCAGCAGCAGCAGCAGCAGCACGGGGACTGGGAAGAGCAGGTGCCTCGCATAAAGTCTTACTCGTTGGATTGGAGTAGCGCAGACGCTCTGCTGCAGGAGCAGCAGCAGCATGCGCAGCAGCGGCAGCAGCAGCAACAGCAGCGGGCGTGGCTCCTGGGCTCTACCGCGCCAGCAGCAGCAGCAGCAGCAGCAGCAGCAGCAGATGATGCAAACGAAGAGATACTGGAAGAAATCGTCTCTTCTCTCCGCCCCCTCAGAGGCGCTCGCATGCGGCTGGGGATTCTGGAGAAGCGGCTGCGCAGCAGCAGCAGCAGCAGCAGCAGCAGTAGCAGCAGCAGCAGCAGCAGCAGCGACTTTCCAGAAGCAAAAAAACGCAAGCATTCTCTGTACAAGGCCATCCACGGTGGGCTGCAGCGCGTTGCCTAAACCCTAAACCCTGGACACGGCAACCCTCACTCCCGCAGTCCTCAAGCCGCAAGCTCAAACCCTAAACCCTAAACCCTCGCTGCTGCTCTGCTGCGCTGCAGAAGTGGCAGCGCGCACAGTTGCTGCTTGGGGGGTTTCTGGGTGGGCCTTTTTCCAAGCTTCCCCGTCTCCGCCTTCAGCAGAACCCCCAGTCGACGCGCAGCAGGTAGGGTTTAGGGTTTGGGGTTTAGGGTTTAGGGTTTGGGGTTTAGGCTGGGCAAGCTGGAAGCACAGCACAGGGTGGGGCGTCGTGAACTTTCGGAGGAGCTTGAGGGTTTAGGGTTCAGGGTTTAGGGTTTAGGGTTTAGGGTTTAGTTGGGGGTTAGGGTTTAGGGTTTGACTTCGTGCAATTGCTGTTGCTGCTGGTGTTGCTGCTGCAGTGCACTAGCTTGCGTGCTGCAGCAGCAGTTATTTGCCGCTGCAGCAACAGCATGCGCAGAAGGCT